CTGCTGTGCGCTGCTATGCAGGAGTGACTCAGCATTACTGCCCCTTGCCTTTGAGCTTGCTGCCCTAAGCTGAATTTGTATCTGGTTCTTAAAAATCCAAAGGAAACCAGCGACTTTCACTGACCCAAAACCGTGCTTTTAGTAGTGAGACTCGTGTTTTGTTTCCTCACGTTGACTTAACGTCTTCTTAGCCCTTTCATCGGGCATCATCTTCTTCTCTTACTTTAATGCTTCTGAAGCTTTTCTTGTTCCTTCTTCCTGTACTTCTTTTAACCATTTCTTGACACTATTGTGCAGTTTAGTGCATTTTCACGCAAACTCTTTTTTCTCCTCCCAGTTGATTTAAGATTAGATTATTTTTATAGTTTTAATTTAATCAAATGTATTTTGGGGTTTTATTTGATTAAGCTAATCTTGGTCCATATTATCCCTAACCATATTTTTCTTAAGGATAAAAATTAATTTGTTTTACTTTATCCCATCAGGACAGTTCACATAACTCCAGATTAGCATGGGTTGTATTACATTATGTTTATTAACCAAATGTTAAGTGTTGTGTTTTTCTGGATATGTTTTAACGTTGATGTTTCCCCCCCGCTAAACTACACCCTAACTCTTCTATGTAATGTCCTTCCTGTCCTCTCCTTCCGTCTCCTTTTGTTTGTACTTTAACTTGTTCTTGTTGTATGTCTCTAACATTGTCCTTCTCTGTTTCCCATTTATTTTCTCCACCGATTTCCTTAATTTCCCCTCTGCCTGTGCGTGTTGTGGGAATGCCTCTGCTTGATGCATCTTGCCCTCACGTGTGCCAGATTGCTCGTGAAGCCGAGGCGGCCATGTTCCACCGGCAGGTGTTCGAGGACCTGCGTCGCTCCACGCCGCCCTGCACAGACCCCGCAGAGGCTATTGCTATCGGCGCTGTCGAGGCCTCTTTTAAGAGCTTAGCCTCTGCCATGATTGTGCTCACTGGCTCTGGAAGGTAGGCAGGTCCCACAGGTGGAGGACAGTGATGGCGTAGTTAAGGATTCAGAGAGGGAGTGTAGGGCCGGACAGGGACTGATTCAGGAAGTAACTATTAGAGACTGGCAAACGCCTAAACTAAAAAGTTGTATTGATTTTTTTATTTGATAGGAAAAGTGTTCCCTCAAAACACACTATCATTAAGCTAAAAATGAACCTTGTTAACCAGGAGTCTAGCAGCGCATTTGCCAGTCTCTCGTAGTGGTGTGAATGACTCTGCGTGAGGCAGTGTGGGTGATTGAGAGTAACCCCCCCCACCCCACCCTCCCCCATGGTCCCTCTGGGCTCAGATAGCACGAGAGGCCGAGGCGGCCACCTTCCACAGACGGCTGTTTGAGGAGCTGAGGAGAAGCTCCAAGCTGACCAGAGACCCGTCTGAGGCTGTGGCCGTCGGCGCCGTTGAGTCCTCCTTCAAATGCTGCGCTAGCGCCCTGATAGTCCTCACCAAGACCGGGAGGTAAGACAGACGAGAAGGGTAGAGGTGGAAGGATCCTCCTGAAGGTAAAGTGTCGCCAACGCTACTCCTAATTCTTCCTCGAACACCTAATTTGCTCTTACAGATCCCCCTCCTTTGATTTTGTGTGTGTGTCAGAAGTGCGCTGTGTGTGGCGAGATGAGATAGCAACAGATTTAATTTGTAGTTGTCATTAGCACAGTCCAAATGGCCATTATTAAACCACTGACTGATCGATTACTTGCATTAATCATCAGACCTGTAAAATGGGGTTTCTTGGCAAAGGCATTTTCTTCAGTGTTTCAAATTTCATGGAGTGGACGAAGGCCCATTAGTTGACTAATTCACAAGATGGAGGTCAGACCTACTCACCAAAAACCCAGCATAAAGATGGTCTGCTGAAGTCTAAATTAACCAGAGTATCTGAAATAACCTGTTGTGTGTAATGTGCAGATTTTAATCTTACTGAATTGCTTTAATTAATTTGGATGGAGTTCATTTACATGTTAGGTTAACGGCTTATGCATTACTGAAGTTATATTCAATACAATATTTATCTTAAAATTGTACCGTTGAATGTTTATCTAAATCGTCTATACTAAATATGTTGACTCTGCAATTATAATTCAGCTTCTTACTGACAGTAACTGCATTTTGTGTAAGAATGGCTTTTTTCAATAATTGTTATAGTCATACCTTTGCAGTCATTAGTTTAAAAGAAAATACTCAACATGTGAGGAAATCGTTTAAACCTGTTTCTGTGTGTGCAGGTCCGCCCACCTGATCTCCAGGTACAGGCCCCGCGCCCCCATCATCGCTGTGACCCGTAACGCTCAGACGGCTCGCCAGGCTCACCTGTACCGCGGCATCTTCCCCGTCCTCTACACCAACCCCTCCCACGACGTGTGGGCCGAGGACGTCGACTTGCGCGTCAACTTTGCCATGGATATGGGTTAGTGTCTTCGTTTCCTTTTTTAACTTGGGTTTTTCTTTTATTAGTTTCATCTCTTCGTCAGACCAAATTTGAGCTGTATATTTGTTTTTATCTCCACATTAAGTCACAAAGCCTTCTGATGTTTGCTCCCTGATTATTACCCATCGTGTCTCCTCATTAAAAGTGTATTTTAGTATTTAACAGTGCAGAACAACAAGTGTAGATTTGAGACAATAATGTAACATTCTCTCAGGATAACACAATGTATTTCAATGTTTGATGCTTTGTTTCCAGGTAAGGCCCGAGGCTTCTTCAAAGAGGGAGACGTTGTCATCGTGCTGACCGGCTGGCGTCCAGGCTCCGGTTACACCAACACCATGCGTGTGGTTCTGGTGGCCTGAACAGTCTCCATCCACCTTCATTTATGTTTCATAGCGCTCCACCCTGCACTCCAGCTCACAGCCCCCCCACAGTGCAACAGCCGGGCTCATAGACTCAAACCCTGAACAACTAATAATGTAGGCAATGATGCAATTAGAATTAGAGTACAGCCTTCATGGCTAAAGAGCTGTTTTGGGTGGAGTTTTGATTCGTACACTTTATGTCTCCATTCCTTTCATATCTCTAAATCAAAACCAGTCCGCAGGGCCTCAGATTTAAACACCTTGACCAGAAACTGCTGTATTTATTCACTCAAACACTTATTATTTAAGGTGAATCAGTCTTAGAGTGAATGCTTCCTGGTCTGTGTGCATGTGCATACTACCTCCTGTTTAGGTGGAGTTGGGGGGGATCTTTTAAAAAGGGCAACTTGAGGACTGTAACGGTGTACTGATACAACTCCTCTGCCGATATAACGAACAAACTTGTTACATCCTAAATCAAAGGGCTCCACCTCTCCACCCAAACAGATCCTCGTGTAGTGCTGTCAGTTTGAAGTGCCCTCTCCAGCTATCACTGTACTTGTGACACGTGTTGCACTCCTTATATAGTGCCCTCTCCAGCTATCACTGTACTTGTGACACGTGTTGCACTCCTTATATACTCCAGACAATGTTACATTCAATGTTATACTTAACTTCTGTAAATTGTAGTTTTGTTTTGGGACATCCAATACTACTTATATTTTGTCAAACTCAACAGAAATGTTAGTGTTGGATGTTCAGAGTTGTTGGAGCTCGTTACTGTATTTGTGACATAAAAGCCTTTACCGTTAATTGAATTTGGAGCATATTTATTTTGAATCTCGTGTGGTTTATAAAAGAGCACTTTTAGGGTATTTCCAAAGGGGACCTGATGAAGGGATGACACCCAGTCCCTCTCGACTCCAGTGGGTGAGGGGTCGCCCCCCTCTGCTTGTCTTGCTCCTTTTTATGTTGGTGAGCCACTGTAGCTGTCTTTGTGTCTAACATGCTTTTGATTGTAACGCTAGAGTGTCTGAACTAACTAAATGTAAAGAGGTATTATAACGTTTAGCTGGTGTACTGAGCTTAAAGACTGGATTTCCATCAATAAAAGAGATGAACACTTACCTTAACTCTGCCTGATGTTTTGTTTGACAATGAATAATCATGGGTGGTTCTACATAATCTTTAGGGAAGGGTCCCGGATAGTCTAAACATAGTAATCGTCCAAAACACCCACTAAAGTGGTCTCAAAAAGCTAAATCGCCTGCTAATGGGTGCAGGGTTTCATTAAAAATAATTGCTTTCTGCAAGAATGAATCTGCATGGAGTTAAAATACATGTATTAAGGTTAATTTCTTATACTATACTCATATTCAACAAGGTTCAATTCAAAACCTTTATTTATACAGATAAAACCCATTGAGATCATAGACCTTTTACAATGGTGACCTGCTTCAATTAGTTCCAAACATTAATACAAACATGACAGAAAACAAAGGACATTATGATACTACAGTTTGTATACTAGTAGCATTTACAGACACCAATATTTTCTGATTGTATAGCGTCTATCCTAGCTTTAAAAACATGAAATGGAATCAAACTGCTTAGCTTCCATTCCTTTTGTAGACTGTTCCATGCTAGCGGCGCTGCGCATCTAAAAGCTGTATTTCCTAATACAGTCCTAGCAGTTGGCACATGTAATACAACCACAGCTTTAGATCTCAGGCAGTAGCCATTTACAATACGCTGTGAGATCAGGGAACAGATGTAAGACGGAAGTTTCCCTAACATTGCTTTATAAATAAAAAGATACCAGTGATTTAGCCGCCGTACAGTAAGTGAAAGCAACCCTGCCCTTGTATACATTATTTCAAGCTTTGACTCGTGTCTGAATAATCTATACTCAACATTTAAAGGGTTACGGTAAAGAAATGTGGGCGGCTGTGGCTAAGTTGATAGAGTGCTGGACTTCGAATCGGGGTAGCAAGTTCGAGTCCCACTGCATGTCGTTGTGTCCCCCAAAATGCTCTTGTGGAGATTGCCCACGGTACTGAATGTAAGTCGCTTTGGATAAAAGCGTCAAGAGACATCTAATGTAAAATGTGGATATTCCAAACCCATAAAGTTATCTCAAAAGTTAAGCTCCTTACTGATATTTTATGAATGCACAATCCAGTCAAAACATAAATAACCATTTATTCAACAAGGTCAATATATCCAGATTCACGTTTTGAGCATTTACTTGCTGTCCTGGCTGTACACGACCCCCACCTGCCTGCGAATCTCATCCTCCAACTCAGCCAGCAGCAGAGAGTCAGCATGGGAGACTACTGCACTCTCCTTCAGCCCTACATGGGAAATGTCACACTGTAAGAACATGTTTAGACTGAATCATACATGCATACAGTATGGGAATATAGTGAAAGCTCTTTAAGATTCCAGTGTTTCTGATGCCACCTTGTGTTGAAAGTATGAACAACAAGTCTAGAAACATGCCTGAACTGAGGTTATAAGAGTTGGGAATATAATTTACTTCAGTGACAACGACAGGTCTCGTTCTCTCCTGCAATAACAGATGTATGAGTCACTTTTCATTTTAATTGAGTTAATTAATATAATTTTTCAGTGCAATTTATAGATAAGTCCTACCAAAGGAAAGGACTTAGCAAAGGTTTAGTTTTTGTTAGCACCCGGTATAATGTCTCAAATATCTAGCATGGTTGGAGACCTCACAAAAGATATCTTGATTCTTTTTTGATATATATTAGTTTTAGTCCTATTTAATTATCACACATGTGAGAACATTGACCTGAGCTGAATAGCTTTGATTACTGGCATTTTAAATACTGTAATATTTAAAATCCTTTTCCTATTGTTTAATTTTACAAGAGAGGACTGCATAAGAAAAACATTAGGGATTAATCATGAACACACTGCATAGCGACGTCTCCTGGAATGTATGGTCCATTCAATTTAAGTGGTTGAAGGTTGCAAGAGTTGACGAAAAAAGAATTGAGTCACCTTTTTTCAGTAGTTATATATTATAGCTAAAGAACAAAAGAAAAATATATAATTTAGACTGCTTATTTTTCATCTAATCTTCTGATTTGACAGATATTCCTTAACTGAGCTTTCAGAAATCACAGATGAATATACACCTAATTGTGATTTTTTTCTTTTTCTGGTTAATACGTAAATTAATTATTGTTGTAATGTAAATACAATCTAAAATATGCTGAAACTCCCAGTACCTTTGAGCAAACACTGCCGGACCTCCTCTGCCTCGTAACGCATCCCTGTACTGTTGAGGAAGTTGAGGGGCAGATAAGGCTCTGGCACTGGGTACTGGGTCTCCTTCCCATTCACCTCTAATGACGTGGGGCACCACATGTGGTCAGGGATCTAGAGAGCATGCAACAGAATATGTTCACAACAATAACATCAGACAATGACATATACAGTATAATATGTGAAGAGAAACTACATTTAACTCCCCTCCTACACTGCTTCACACTTGCCCTTGTTCACATTTCAAACTTGAAAATAGTATATACAAATAGGATCTAACATTCAGGCTATTTTAATTTGATTTGACTATGTGACCCTGCTGATGACCTACCCTGATGTTTCCCTTTGTGCCCGCAATAATGGCGTCATTGGGCAGCTTGACACCTGAGGAGCAGGAGAACACGGCCATCCTGTTTCTGGAGAACTTCAGAGTGACAACCACAGTCTCATCCACTCCTGCAATAACATACAGATGAGGTCATGCACAGGAACACTTTACTTACACAAGAAATGACTGAAACATGCTAAACTGATTTGCCGCTAATCACATCAAAAATACAAGAATATAGCGGTGTCGTTGTTTAAAAGAGTGCAGTGTCTGCCATGTGTCCTCTGCAAATAAATTGTTGAGTTTGTTTATTACACTGTGCTTTATATTGAAGAGTAAAACAGTGTATAAGAATGTAGGGCAAGACTAGATACCTGGACTATAAAAGCCTAACTTTTATTGTGCCAGTTGAGGTGAAGTCTTATCGCACAGCAACACTCCCTTGGTTAAAGATTATCAATCCACATAAAATATGAATTGTACTTTGTACAAACAGTTAGCAGGCTGCAAACTTTTCATTTTGTTTTCTTATCAGGAGCTGCAAATGGCTTAGGTTATGGATAACAATGTTAACCTGTGTGTGATGTTTTTAAAGCGAAGAGAAAGCCGCAATGACTTCTTCATTACTTCAGACTCATATGAGCTATGTTCCCAACTTGTTATTGAAGTTACACAGCTTCAGAAAGGACATCTGTGACACCCTTTTCTCTTTGAATCACCTGTCTCCAGACAGACCCCCATGGCCTGGATGCTCTCCGGCTTCTCTCCGTTGAACACCATGCATATGAACTGCAGGCAGTAGATGCCGATGTCTAGAATTGCTCCTCCGCCCAGCTCCTTCTGACCCGACCTCGGCACGTGCGATAACGGCACGCCAAACTCCGACCTCACCATCTTCACCTCTCCCACCTCCCCCTGGTCCACCAGCCGCCTGATCTCCACTGAGGCTGGGAAGAATCTGGTCCATACAGCCTGGGGGCGGGGCAGGAGGCACACAGTCACAGTTTAGTGCTAGCTTTGTGTAATCTTATTTAGTAGTTGACTTACATTAGAACGTTTTAATGTTAAGTTTGATTTTGCATGTGAAAAGTGGAGGAGACTACGGTGGCCGTCAGCAGGTGCAAACGCGGAACACCGGCCAAAAACGCACACATGAGCAGGAAACACCTGCAAATAATGAAATGAAAAACAAACAAACCCTGAAAACAAGAACAACAAAAAAACGCTACAAACCCAAAAACAAAACATACCGGAAGTGCTCCAGGCCTCTAGGGGGCGCGTTACGTGGAACGCGTTTGCACCTGACGGCCACCGTAGGAGACAGACTAAAGCTATTGCAAATTGTATATACATGTATTTGTTTGGACTGACTCCATCCTTACCTCCATGAGAAAGACATCATTCCTCTTGGCAGAGGACAGGATCTCCTTCACCTCCTTGGTGTTCATGGCCAGCGGCTTCTCACACAGCACGTTCTTCTTGGCATTTGTGAAGAGGAGGCAAGTGCTCAGATGGTAGGGGTGGATAACTCCAATGTACACAACATCTGCATTCACAAAAAGACACAAACCAGAGATCATGCTGTGATGTTTTTCAATGTCAACATATATATTACAGTATATATATAACCCACAGGAAATCAAGACAGTTGTGGTTCAAACTGAATACAAGAGTAGTAAAAGTGCCATCAAACAATCTGATGTGACCCAGGTCTGAAAGAAACTAACCTATGTCTGGATCTCTGGCCAGCTCCTCATAGCTGCCGTAAACTCGGGAGATGCTGTGCTTTGTGGCAAACTGCTGTGCATCCTCTAATTTACGAGCTGCCACAGCCACAACCTGTAAATCCAGTTTATAATATTATTCACCACAACAAGGTAATCCTGTTCCACCGTAATGAAAAGCCCCCAGAAATAAAATGTGCTTGCAGAAACATGATAACATGTGAACTTATTATTTTCATATTCAATGTTCTGTGTAAACTCAATAACTTAATGTTTCTCTTGCTAAAACTGTGCATTTCTCAGTGTTTGGAGGCAGCTTTACTTTACAATAGTAACCCATTTATAGTCAGTTTAAAGATTCAATAAATATAGTCTTTATAGCAAAATGTTGTTTTTAAGTGGTACGCAGCTATTTCATATTTTGCATTAATGTTTTCATTGTCGGGTACTGTAATTACTCGGTTATAGAGTCAAAATAAAATGTGACCATTTAGTTAGTGTGTATAATATACTTTACGGTAAAAAACAAAGTGTTAAAAAATGCTGCAGACTGTCATTTGAAATGTCTATAATAAACTCTTTAAAGCTGCATGTTGCACATCATCAACACTGGATTAGGACTTTACTTTAACCATAGACTGTGGGCGCATTCACACCAGCCTTTATAGTCCGGTTGAATTGAACCCTGGTGCGTTTAGCCACTTCTCTGGTGCGTACCAGACCACAGTTTGTTACATTGTTTCATTTTCAGAAGGTTCGGTTTGCGTTCACACTGGCAAAACTCAAACGGACTACAAACTTTAAACACAAACTGTGCACGGAAATGCTGTTCAACCATTGGTCAGACATTAAGGGGGTAAAAACGCAAATCCCGACAATTTCTACCGGAGCCTCCGCCATGGAGCATCGGCACTTTCGGCAGGTTATTCTCAAACTGCTATTAATCTGGAGATCAACAGACACTAGCGGCCCGCGCATATGAATATATAATCAGACAACGTCCGTTAAAAAACATTATAACCAGTGCTTGAATTGGAATGAAAAAGGTGCCAGTACTCTAAAATCAGCAACTTTTTCAAGTCAATTTTATATATACAGCCCACAAACAAGAATTTGGCTACTATAATGCTGGTGGGTTTGTCTCTTTACTACTGTATATTTTAGAAAGGTTCACTGTACTTAACATTTTTTATGATAGGCAGCGGATATGGCTAAAGCTCAGTAAGGTCAATATTAACTGAAAATATAGCAATCAAAGTCTAGATCTTCTGCTGAAGACACATGAAGCAGAGACCTTTCAGGTGAGAGCCCCTCTGGTGGTGTTCAACATTAATGACAAGGAAACAAAGCTCTGGTCAGAAGCATTTTTTATAAAAAGCTTTAACAAAATTAAGTATTTCTGTACATTTTGAATGCAATCTAACTTTCCAACTCAGAAAACGAAAAACGAAAAAGTGCCAAAAGTCTTCTCACATGGCTGAGCTGCTTTGCAATATACTTCACCACTGAAGAATACAAATATGTATAAAGTAAACTATGATGCACTCTAACTTTCCAACTCAGAAAAATGATAAAGAGCATGAACAAAGAACATGTAAAAACAAATGCAAAATTTGCACAATCTAAAATGAGAAACTGTAACTGCAAGTAACAAAGTCTGAGCCATGGTAAAGAGTTACATTGAACACCAAGCTGATCAGATAACTCCCTGGTTGGTCTGAAGTCCTTCTATCTCCAGGATCTGTACAAATCGGCACATTATGCCAAAAGTCTTCTCACTGGGTGAGCTGCTTTGCAATATACTTCACATTGTTAGAAAAGGCTCCAGAAGGCCTTGGGGACATCAGTATCAGGGGCTGGAGCTGGACAGGCTCTTTCATCAGCACTTCTCCTTCCCTTTGCCAGCCAGGACCTCACATACTGTTCCGGATTGAACTGTCCTAGTGATGGTCCATTACATTTAATGAAAACCAGGCTGGACAGTCGGCTGACAGAGAGAGCATTCCTTTTTGCAGTAAGGATATCGTTCATGCAGCTGAATGCCCGCTCACACTCACTAGTGGAGACAGCGATGGTTCGGACTGCTTTCAGTAGAGGCTCCATGGCAGCAGGTGTACGGGATGCCCTGGTTTCCTTGTATTCGCGAAAGCCCTGAACAGTCTCTCTTCTGTCCACTTTCAGCACTTCGCACAAACGTAGCACCTCTACGTCCCCATACTGTACGTCTAACTCCTCTTCAGGCCAACTTCCAGGATGGATAACTTTCATGTCCTGGATTAGCTGATTGTCCCGGGCCTCCCGGCCATGTAATGGGATTTCTCTTGTGCTGACATGAGAGGAGGTTGTGGAAGTCATTCTGTGTCTCAGATTCTCTACCATACTGTGGAAAAACTGACCTGCATGAATCTGTACAAGCCTGCCATTCTCACGCAGGGCAACACCCTTGAAGGACTTCTCAGCTAGAGCTGTATGAACTGTAGTCATGTGTGGGCCAGGCATGGTGACCATGGATTCAAAAACTCGTATTTCTCGAGTTAAGAGCCTATCTGCTGTAGGCAGTGTCATCTCTCTTTTTTGGAGTTGCCGAGAGAGGTCGCTGAGCTCTGTGAGCGCATCGTACATCAGTCCCAGATTGCTGACAAACGTTGCAGATGTGAGCACATCATCCAGGCCCTTGTACTTTGCTCTGTCTCTGGAATCCCTGCTCGTGTCGTTTGCAGCATTTGTGAAGTGATCATGAAGCACTCGTAGTTTTCCCAGACTGCTCTGACGCTCCTTTCACTTGAAGCCACCCAGCGGATGGACAAAACACGCCCTATCACCAGGAGACGCTGTCCGACTGCTTGCGCACACTGCACTAACTGCCTCTGATTTTTGGGGGAGGCATGGAACAAGGAATAGAGTTTGTCAAAAAAGATCTGGAAATGATTGAGCCCTGAGACCTCCTTGACCACATCCCCAACTGCCAGCTCTAGACGATGATTGGAGCAGTGCCACACAAACAGGCTTGGGAATTTACTATACAACTGGGTAGCAACGCCTGTTCTCTTCCCTAGCATGACTGAAGCCCCATCACATGCAAAAGAAACGAAACACTGACCTAAAAAGTCCTCGTTAAAATCTCTTCCAAGACACTCCATTAACGCCTTTGTGATGTCATCAGCCGTTGTTCCATCCAACTCGATCAGCTCCCAAAAAAACGTTTCGGGCTCAGCATCAGCTAATGCTGAGCGTAGACACACAACAAGCACCGTTTTACCACTAATAGTGGTAGATTCATCGACCAAAACACAGAGTTTTCTTTGGTTTTCTGTAATGTCTTTTGCCATTTTTTTCTTCAGCTCATGAGCTATGTCGTCGATGATTTCTCCACAGGTTTTATTGGAGTGCAAAACCCTGCCTACGTTCAGCCCATTCAGTTTCTGTACATTCAAATCAATTGGCATGTCTGTGAATGGCCGGCTATGTTTGCCAATTTTATATGCCGTTCGAAAAACTCTGATAGTGGTGTCTAATTCAGATTTATGCATAGACTGCACTTGATGTTGAATAGTTTCACGTGAAGCAGATGTAAGGATGTCAGCAGCTTTTACATGGGCTTGTGATTCTTTATGTTCTTTGATTTTTTTTCTCAGGCTAGCTTGTTGTTTGCCCTTGTCAACACCGAAATGAGACACTGCACACTCACCCCATTCAGTTGACAGTTTCAGTCCTTGTCCAGTGTGTATTCCCAAAGATTTGACATCTCTGCATATCCGACATCCTAGCTTCTTATCTTTAAGAAGGAGCCATGCATTGGTCTTGCAAAAATATTGCACCTGGTCCGTTGTCCAGCAGTCAGGTGCATCGCTTTGCCCGGTGTTGGTGGTGGCAGTTGCGCCAGCAGCAGCTAACGTTAGAGGCTCTGGAGGAGGCGGCGGAGCTAGTGCTAATGCTAATGCACTAGAACTTGGAGCAGGAGGATCAACCAAAGAAAGCTCCCCATCAGACACAATTTCCAACACAGGCACAGCATTCTCTGTATTTGAAGTTTCTTCCGGCGACAACCGCTGTCTTTTTGCACTTTTATTAATCCACAGAAATGCTAATTTGTGACGTGACTTGCTTTCCTTCTCTCGGGGGCGTGCCTGCTCTGTTCTATCACTCTACATAGCCACCCACTGGGTGGGAGTTGCACTGCATAAACACAACACACGTGCATCTAGGTATGTAAATTGTAAAGCATTAAAACATGGTTTTACTAACAGTTTTCAGTATGTTGTTACTTCGGCATTATTATTATTATTATTATTATTATTTTGAAACGTGTATTACTATTAAATCACGGTCAAATAGGTTAATTTTGACATAGTCGTTTCCACCACAGTATTTACATGGAGAAGATAAGCCCCGCCCCCTCTCCAGCACGTTCTGTTTGAATGACGGGAGTAAACAGCTGACAGCCGCTGTGAAACTCCAGCGGTTAGAGCGATGAGAATGTCCGTTTGGCACCTCATGACGCATCTACTGAGTACCGGGCGGCTGTATATATATATATGGATGTATAATAAGAACGGCGGGAGAGTGTTGAGTACTGGCACGGTGCATGAGTACCGGAGTACCGCCAGCATGCCGGTACTGAGCAAGAAGTGCCGGTACTCCATGGGTCAGAACCAGAAGTGCCGGTACTGCGTACCGGTGAGTACCGGCCCAATTCCAGCACTGATTATAACACATATAATGAGAGACGTTCTGCAGTAAGGAGGGGCGTTTCACCGACGACAGGTGTTCTTACTTTTATGCTTGTATGTAGTTGACGGAGAATTTTTACTTTACACGACACTGTTCAACACTTCATTCTGCTTCACTCTTTAACCAAACAACCGCGGATGTCTTCAAGACATTGTCTTGAAAGACTCTTTCGCTAAAGATTTAGATGAAGACATCCGCGTTCTTGTGACACATAAATACTACGCTTCCTCTGTTTTGGTGCGGACTGCGTTCACACCAGCAATGAACCGCTCCAGAGTTCGCAAGCAAGCGCTCCGAGACCACCTATTTTAGCGGACCAGAGTCCGGTTGTTTAGTTCACTTAAGAGGTCTCGGATTGTGTTCACACCGACCCAAATGAACCGCACCACGCGGCTAAACGCACCAGGGTTCGATTCAACCGGACTATACAATACAAGCAGGGCCGCCCCTCCCTACAGGCCAATCACGCAGGCTGCATGGGGCCCCGCCTTGCGCAGGGGGCCCCGCCCAGAGGGCCTCAGCTGCTGTGCGCAGTTCTCCGCTCAGTTCTCCGCGCACCACCCGCGAGAGTCAGAGTGCGGCACACGCCGCTGTATGGACGGGCCGTGAGAGGTGACAAGAGGAGCACGTTTGTAACCCGACACCGTTGCAATGAATCGACATCTGACCAATCACGGCTTTGATACGGCCACTAGTGCAGGTGAAGAGATGTCGGTGAAAAGACAGTTTCAGTCCGGCGCAAAAAACAAAACATGAAGAAACTAGCGCATCACTCGAAGGTGGGTTATTGTATGTACAACTTACGAATGTTGTATAAGTCAAATTGCCAATTGCCATCTTAAAACATCAGCTGCAATTCACGACATGAAGAAGGCAGTCTCTGCATAGCATATAGGCTAATGGAGATACAGTTATTTCCAGCATTCTTTATTTACCATTCATTCAAGTATGTTATGCCTTTTATCTGCTAATGTACAGGAGGAAGAGAGATACAATGTCTGTCTACTTGGCTTACATAACAGTTAAAGTTGACAGCCTAAAAAACATGGAGCATTTTTTCCCCTTTTATTCATTTTTATGTCAATTTGCACATTTCATGGTGATGCTCAGCCTCTCCCCTTAACTCCTAACAGTCATCATCATGTCAACCACAACACAGAGAAATACTGATAGAAATGTGTGTGTAGTTGTTGATACATTGCTGACAGAGGGAACTAGAATACAGATTTAAGAAATATCAGTTTTTGAGCATGTCATAAGCATGTTTTGTCTTGACTATACAACTATATTATAATAAAACAATATAGTATTTTTATTATTGAATTGATTATGATTATTAGTAGAAGTAGTTTATTTGCATTAATTATGTTTTTATCTTTTTGAGGCTAGTATTTGGCAGGAAATGCAAAATTCACCTGTAAACCCATACTGAACGACATGCATGCACATTTACCATTTACCTCACTGTATAAAAAAGTAACCGTTGATAATAATAATAAACAGGAATTATATTTGCAAAGTAGCCTACTTTGTTTCCAAAAAAAAAAGTTCACTCCTGTCGGTTGGGGGGGGGGGGGCCTCATCTCACAATGTCGCTTGGGGCCCCAAGTTGGCCAGGGGCGGCCCTGTATACAAGGCAGGTGTGAACGCACCCAAGGTTCAAGGTTCTTTATTGTCAAACTAACATAGCTACAGAGTAATTATGTCGGTGAAAATCTTATGTCACAGGCTTCTCCAACAGTGCAACACAATAATACAGATAAGCAGACAATATTAAAATATACTATATTAAAAGTAATACAAAAAGAAAAATTGTTTTAGGTTTTTTGAGTAGACTAGTCGAGACGTGTTGCAAACTAAAGATGTAAATGTGTGTGCGCTTCTGCTGGTACCTGGTGGTCTTCATGAGGAAGGGTCTTCAGAGCCACAGTGAAGTCATGACTGATCTTCCCCGCGCTGCAGATTCCCCACCTGGTTGCCATGTTGGACGAGTAGAATGTTCCTGCATGCACCCGGACCGGGACAGTGCAAGACACGACACGCCCACCGACACTACGGTGGCTGAGAGACATTTATGGGCATAGATATGTCTCATAATTATTTGTGTGAACATAAAAATAATTTGTGTGTAAATATGTGATTTGTAAATGTAAAACAACATCCACAAATGCATTTAAAAGATTTGCAAACTCACAAATACATTTGCAAGTGTAAAACGGATCTGCAAATACGCTAAATATGTTCACAAATAAAAAAAAGATCTGTGAATATCTCTTTATCATTTACACCTTTCGATCAGGCATTTGTGAATCCAATTTGTATTTGTGGACCAAAAATGCGCTTGCGGATCTCAAATCTCTGTTCGCGGATCGTCTTTTTACACACACGGAATTTTGACATATTTTCCGCCGGTCTCGGCTAAAATCTACTCGTGTCACTCGGTTATTTTCGGAAACCACGTGATAGCCTGCCGATGGCGACATTTCCGCATGATTTCAAAGTAAGAGCATGATGGTTTGTTTAATGCTCTGTTTTTGTATTATAATGAACAGCGGAACGTTAGATGCATTCTTCATCACCATCACCATCATCATCATGTTATAGTGATACAGTTAGTTTGTGTTATTGATTCAATATAGCATATATCGAGCACTTTCGTTGATGTTGAAGTGCAGGCTATACGCCACTTTCGGGTCCCGGGGGAGCAGCTCCGGGGGAGCAGCTGAGCTGTTTCGCTGCCAGCTGCTCCCCCGGAGCTGCTCCCCCCGGACCACGTGCTGGTGATGAAACTCTCCAATTGGCTCGGCAAAAGTTTGTTGTTGTTTTGTTTCAGTTTTACGTCGCCACTTCCATTCACATTTTTCATCATTGTTCCACAATGTTTATCATCATGAAATTAATATCTAAATATGTTATACTTGCACTGCTTACCGTTTTCATACTTTATATATCTTAGCATATTCATACACACTGTTAATACTTTTCATACTGCTGCTGTGTATATCTAGTTTATTCATTCCCCTCACTGTTTATTCATCATTCAATTCATTCTATATTTTATTCTGTAGATTGCACATTACTTTCCACTTTACTGCTTTGTGCACTCCTGGTTGGAAGCTAAACTGCATTTCGTTGTCTCAGTACCTGTAATATGTGCAATAACAATAAAGTTGAATCTAATTTTGAGCAGGAACAAATGTTTACTTAGTACATATCTGACATTAACGATTAAACACATTTGTGCATTCTTTATAAATGCAAACCGAGTCAAGCTGACTCCGGAGGTGGCGGTATGCACCTTAAAGTTGTTTGCAATCCGCCAAAAAAAACGAGAAGAAGACTGAGCTTTCCGGCGAGCTTTTTGAGACCTCCCCCGGCTGAATCGGCTATTCTCGTCTACTTTCGAGGCGAGCTGTAGCTCGTCTCAAACAAGTTAAATACTGTTGGAAGCTCAGGTTCAGTTCAACTGTATCCAGTCATGCCAACGAGGGTCTGTTTCCTGTCTTGTGAGGGGAAATCTTCAATGTATGCCTTACCGAGGGCAGAACCACGCCGAAGTCAGTGGTTGACATTTCTTGTTAACACTGTTCCTTCAGATGTTCGAGGTATTGTACTGTGTGCGCGGCATTTCACGAACCAAAGCTTCGCAAACATTGCAGCGTTTCATGCCGGATATGCACAGCGTAGGACACTGAAGGACGATGCTGTTCCTACTTTGTTTGGACCAGGAGATTCGGGTACACAACCTGTAAGTATGCATTGTTGTTTGTGTATTTATGATGTTTAAAACAAACAAGGTATCTACCACGACTGTTTAAATACTGCGGTCAAGCCAGCCTCCACTTGTGAAAACGCAGTCAAGCCAGCCCGCACATTATATTGCGGTGCGCGAATATCCTATGCATTACGGTAGAGGCCTGGAAAAATTGCCTTCAAAATAAAAGCGTTTTCTCGGTCAATAACAAATATACCAAACATATTCATATATAGGCTACTGGAGATTGAATTAAGAAATATGTAGCCTACTATATAATGTGTTCAATAATAATGTAAAACAAACTACGTATAACTACCACATTATAACTGAGTGAATGTAAAACTTAAGGAGTTTAAAAATAAAATACTTTTGAAATCTCATATGGGCCTTCTGTTTTTAGATAAGAATAAATACAACACTGTCAAACATCAAATACTTATTTCACTTCAGGGTGATAGCAGGACACCCCAACTAGTCACTCAGAGAAAATCAGGACATTCTGATGTAGTTTCAAAATAAAAGACCTTTGAAATCTCTATTATATGAACTGTCGTCCCCCTGTTTTTAGATAATAATAAAAACAGGTCTACAATGACAGAGAAGAGACTGTCAAGTTTGGCTGTACTCAGCATTGAATCAAAACGCACTAAAGCTGTTGATCTTAATAAGTTTGTGAGGCGTTTTGCTGAACAAGATGGTAATCGCCGCATTCAGCTGTAATAGGCATGCCAACTTGATGCTCTGCTCACGGATGACTCGATGAGCAATTTCAAATTTGAAGGAGGGTGAGCAAGCATCTTGAGGAACATTCATCATTAACTCCTCCAAAAAATATAGTTTATTCAATAATAAATGAATATGTGAATCATAACAGTGATTGACAGCTGATGGGAATAATATGATTGTTAATATTATCATATCAATTCAGACAAACATCGATGAGACAGTTAATTAATGTACTTATTGCAGCAGTCTTCATAGATTTGGTGCCCTTGCTGCTCTAAGAGTGAGACAAACTCATTCAGTTATTGTTCAGTTAAAATTCATTAAATGATGTCTGCCACCTTATATATTTATATGTAAGGCTTTACTGATGTGCCACAATAATGTCACCAAATGTTATTGAGTTAAAATATTAATATTGTGGCTTTCCAAGTTAACATTGATTGATGTGACTGCGATTAAATCAGCATATACTTCTGCCAGGGGATGCCACCCCTCAAATTCTCCTGCCACCCCATGAATATTTGTCTAGATCCGCCCCTGTTCGTTAGAAATGTGTCCCAGAAAGTGTTGCTTTTAGGAAATTGAGTGTTTTCATCGGATACAAAATTAATTGCATGAATGTTATGTGTATCTTTCTTAGAGTACATCACAGCAGGACCCCGGTACCCCCCACCGCTCCAGTACAGTCGGATGCCAAACAGACCGTACACAGACTGTTTCTGTGGGAACTCGGAGGGTTGAGACACCGTCCGTGGGGACACAGACAGTGAAATGTAAAGTGTCCGCCGTTTCAGTTGCTACACAGTTGTCCTGGGGAACACTGAAGTCGGCACACGTGAGAAGCAAAGGTAGACTATAACACAGACATTGACTGTTTTTTTTATTTGAGATACATTACCTTAATTGTGCTTTTATTACATGTACAGCACTTTGGCTCGACCAAAAATCGTTTTTAAATGTGCTCTATAAATAAAACTTTATTTGATATTATTGTATCCCTGTTTTTTTATATCACAGAAATACTGTTATGTGGACTACAGGAAATACAGTGCTATTTGTAGTTTTTTCTAAATATTTCATGAATTAATCTGTCAGATGTACACAAGTTGTTGGCCTTTTACAATTTATTAGTGTATTATATAATATACAAAGTAATTATGTACTTTTCCATTTTTATTAACAGGCATCCAGGCCACGGTGTCTTTACAAAATGTTGGCACTAAAACTTCCACCTACCCAGAATTCCCCTTAGCCTCTTCTACACCAATAAAGGGCCCAGGATTGGGACCTAGCAAGAGACCTCGACTGGAGTTGGAGGAGGAACAAGGAGAGACTTCGACTGAACTTGAAGAGGCTCTGGATTCGAGTTACCACCCTGATGATACTGTAGAAGAATCTGACGTATCGTAAGTTTGGTATATTTGGTACACATTACTATTACTGTTTTTCAGAGTTTAAATCTAACATGTATTGTTGATTTTGTTTTGTTACATTAGACTTCAGACACGATCCACGCACAGTGACGCAAAGTACATTGTTTTTGAAAGCTGCCTCGGACAGCTGTTTGAAAAATGTCCGGTGTGTAAGACAGACTGTGATGTCCAAAGACGAAAAATGGGGACTTTTGTGGCGTTCATACAGCGTTGTCCAAACTGCACTTACTTCAGACAATGGGAGAGCCAGCCCATCATCTGAAGTACCCCGGTTGGCAACTTACAATTATCCGCTGCTACATACTTCACTGGTGCTTCCTTCTTCCAACTACAAAAGGTATTTTACCATCTAACATCCATAGCATATGAAAATTGACAGCAGTGGACTTTTTCAAAAACGTTTCCTGTTTTTCTATTTATTCATAGATATGCAGAGCCATGCAACTGGAGATCTTCCAGTATGAGACCTTCAGGAGGCATGCTAGGAATGACCTGGAGCCTGCTATTATCCACAAGTGGAAGACTGATCAGCTGCATTTTTTTCCAGCAACTACAACACCAGGGGGGAAAGGTCACAGTTGGAGGAGATATGAGAGCAGACTCTCCAGGTAAGCAGAAACAGACAGTCTAGTGCCAGAGTTACTGGTGTATATTACAATTCATCTAACTTGTCCATTGAACTTATGTTAAAGCCTTGAAACCTCCTGTATTATATTTTCTTCAGGGCACTCAGCCAAGTTCGGGAGCTACACACTCATGCAACTGGGAAGCAACACCATTGTGGACTTCCAGCTTGTTCAGGTGTGATTCTCTTTCTGGGTGTTATAATTGTAGGCTTGCTGGCTGTTGATGCATGCTTCAGTGTATTTATGCCCTATTTCTTATTCAACAACAGAGCAATGAAGTAGGTGGTAGTTAACACATGGAAAAGGAGGGACTCAAAATATGCCTAGATCATCTGGAGTCAAACGATTTGGCGGTTGAGTACATTGTGACTGACCGTCATCCACAGATCCAGAAGTTTCTGAGGGAACGCAACATAGAACAATCCTATGATGTGTGGCACTTTGAAAAAGGTATTTATCCCTATATGTTGTAATGGAAGAATACCAAATCAGAGACACTGTCCTTTGTTAAGATATTTCTTTGTTTTACTATGCAATTTATCCTGAGCTTCTAATCAGCAGCAGACATAACATAATGTCTGGATACATTAATTATATCCCCTACAATTTGGCCCTCTAATCTGCTCTTTACTCTGTTATTGTAAACTGTCTGCCAGACCACTTGATCACAGCACCTTTTGTCATTGTAAATTAACTTTCACTCACTAATCTTAGTATATAGTGAGTACTCTTTAGAATGGGAATTTGTGGAAAGTGATGTGTATATGAATATGTATGGGGGTTTCCTGGCTATGAAATGTTTTCAGACAGAAGGGTGTCGCACTGACCATTGTCAGGCAATTATCATATGTATGTTATGGTTGATGATATTAAGTGTGGAATTTCCACCACACCCTTGAATCTTGAATGTTGTCCATCACAGCACTTCATTTCCACATTATAGCTTGAATATTCACTTGTGCATGTGCTTTTTTTTATCAGGTTTGTCCAAGAAACATTTACAGAACAAGGACTGCAAGGTGTTGAAGAGGTGGCTGCACAGCATAAACAAACCATGTATACTAGAGTGCGACGGGCACAACCTCGGGGCCAGAGAAGGTGGCAAGGTGGACGTCAGTGGTCAACCACCTACAAAACATTCACGTGCATGACGTCCCCCTATTCCCCAAGTGTTCACATCCTGAAAGAGCCTCAAGCGATGCAAATAAATGGCTACAACCTGGTAAGTTCAATATTTATGAAACAATTGGAAATAACAAGTGAAACATTTAAAAACACTTCACTTCCTTCATAAGATCAACAATATTGAATGTAAATATAACATTGTTGTTATGGCAAATTATTGGTGTAATGTTCTAATTCTAATGTTTGAGGAAGTCTTTGAGGACCCAACACCCTTTGTGGATGAGATGAATACAATCCCCATCCCAAAGGACCTGTCCACTCAATTTGAAATTTGACAAGCCCTCGATCAGGAAACTCCTGGCGTATCCGGCGGACAACACATGACGGGATGACCACTCTGATGCCTCGTCCTAAAAAGCCCCAGCACCAGCTTACAAAGCTGCGATGCCTAAAAGGGGAGGAATGGATCATATACAGTGTATATGTATATTTACACATGTTCATTTCTAAAAATAAAGTTTGATGGAAATACTTATTAGCCTTTCTTCCCTGAATGATTTGCTCCTATAACATATGATTCATATATAGCAAACCATGATTTGATTTTTCATCAAACACAGTAGTTTATTACAGGTAAGAATAAATTACTCTTCTTCCGTTCTACGCCTCAAAGGTCCATAATCAAATCTGTAGCGGCGATCGCTCATCAAAAAAGGCCACTCATGGAAGTTAGCAGTCCGAGTTCCCAACGCATGTTGTTGTGAAGGATGAGGTCCACCATGACGTAATTTGTAATGCTTTTATTTATTTGTCCACGGTTAAAATGTTCTTTTAAGTCTCACGTATCTTGGTTAAAACATAACTATCACGCACACGCTCAGACAAACAATCACTGTCAAAAAACGTGTGGCTTCCTTCTAACCTCTCATCCCAGCTGATCACCTGTGCCCACATATATAGGTTAATTACCTCCCGTGCTCCCAGGGGCACCAACATAATAAATGAGTGTCTGGAGGAAGGACTGATTCAGCCCAGCTAGACACTCCCCTATCTAAACTGAGGAAGCTGTACAACAATAAGATACTTCACAGCCAATGCTAGACTTATACTACTGCTCACCACCCAGGGTCGGCGTCATGGGGGGTCATTCGCGGGCCATGCCCCCCCAAATGAGTCACTGTGCCCCCCCCAACGCAGGGTGGGCAAGCCTTGTCACTTTGCCGATTTTTTCTTTTTTTTATCATATAGGCTAAGTGAAAACGTTTCCACTAAAGGTTTTTTGTGTGAAATACATCAGAAATAAATAATACAAATATAAAACACAGCCTGAGGTGTGCTCACTGCTGCTCTCTGATTGGTGTGTTGCTTGACCAATGACCCCCGACCTTTTTTTGTTATCATTACGTGGCTGAGTGTTTAGATGAAAGCCCAGTGGCGATCTGTTAATCTGTTACACTGATTATACAGTAAAGCCATCAAAAATAATATGATATACAGTACAGTACAAGTACATGGGTCTCTGTGTTTCATTCAAGCTCTGTGTGTGTGTGGCACGAGCGCATTTTGTGAGTGCGCGAGCGGTAACGTGGAATGTTGTGGTTAGCATCTGGTTAGCTAGCTATGCTAACGGATATAAAGGGCTGTTTCTACACCAAGGTGGAGGAGAGTCCTCTCCTGTCAGACTGAGAGGATCTTATAACGTCAGCTCAGTGAGGTAAGGACTCTCTCAGTGTTTAGATAGTTCACTTTAGTGTAAGTTATCTCAGTGGGTCTCAAACGGTTTGGTCACCATTTATGTAAGTATTTTCGAGGAATACCTTTATATGATCATTATAGTTATTAAAGAGAGAATAAATGAAAAACGGGTATGAAATACTATAGGACAGTAACACAAGAATACAGTTTAAAAGGGGAATGATTAGTGAAATATCCATAAAGAAAAAGTAAATCTGTGTACAGTTCTGTTTCATATGGATGCTGAGAGATGTAGGCTATCCATAGATCTCTTCACTTTGCTCTCAAAGTGCACCAGATTGATGCATTTAACTTCAATATTTTAAAAATAATCTTCCCGGGGGAGCATGCCCCCAGACCCTCCTAGAGGAGGTTAGGTCCACCCCCACCTAAAACATGTTCACATGGATAGGATACTAAATACATTTGCACACTTTTTATATGATGGCCTATGTCCATATCAAATCAAATCAAGTTTTATTTATATAGCACATTTTTCAACGATTTTTGGTCGAGCCAAAGTGCTGTATATACAGTATAATACAAAAATAACCTACAGTAAAGACACTTTACAGCAAATACAACAGCACAGTTTGTGCAGAATATCAGTATGAGAAAACGACACCCTCTGTCCTTATATGTTTCTGTTTTGGTGGTCGTGCCACAACCGTGCATGTATGCACAAGTCATAGGTGCACTATACAATAGCACTACACCCCTGCAATGTGTGTGAAAGACAATAGACTTTACAGCATGTTTTTTTAAATTGAAGTTGGTGTTTGTGTGTTGGTTGTTGACGGCAGTGTGTGCCCCCCCTTGGTAAATGATTGCCCCCCCATTCAAGTTGTTCTAGAGCCGACCCTGTCACCACCAAACACAATATCAACAATCAAATACTCACTCTTTGTCTCAAAGATCGGATGAGCCCCCATTTGTTACGTTCCCTACTGGGCTAGGGGAACCAAAGGGAAGTAACAAAATATGAAATGACCGGGCGAGAGAAAAAGGAGAGGAAACGGATCTCTGAAGCCACAAGATGGTCTTTTAATGGACACAAGAAAAAGGGCTCACCAGCCAACTTGCAAAGCAAAATAAAATAAAATAAACTAGAACACAAATATACACTGGAGCACATCTCCTAATAACTAACAGAACACAGGTTTCACACAGAAACACCATGCTGCCATATGAGAAGGAGAGGCCACTGCAGCCTTCCTCCGGTCCTTTATGGAGGCCCTGGTTGGGGATTGGGAGCACCTGGGGGAGAGGCTGCACCTGGAGACAATCAGGGAGAGAGAGAGACACACACACCAAGCACCAACTGCGGCACGTAACGGTGACCATTTAGTGTGTACTTTACGGTAAAAAACAAAGCGTGCCAAAGTGTTAAAAAATGCTGCAGACTGTCGTTTGAAATGTCTATAGTATAAACCCTTTAAAGCTGCATGTTGCACATCATCAACACTGGATTAGGACTTTACTTTAACCATAGACGGTAAGAAATGTGTGTGAACTGTCCGCGGATACACACACTGCAGTGCACGGAGCGAAAAGCCTAGCTGGGTTCTGTGTATATGTAGTAGAGACGTGTAGCAAACTAAAGATGTAAATGTGTGTGCGCTTCTGCTGGTACCTGGTGGTCTTCATGAGGAGGGGTCTTCAGAGCCACAGTGAAGTCATGATTGATCCTCCTCGTGCTGCAGATTCCCCACCTGTTGGACGAGTAGCATGTTCCTGCAGCCCCGGAGTCTGTCACTAGGGTCACTAGGGTCTGAGACGTACATCCGGCTTCTACGTAATACTGCTAGGCTGCTTCCGGTCTGCGGAGCTGAGAGGAAGATGGTCCACAAAAGTTTTAGTCAGTTTAAATCTATGGATTAAATATGAGTTTGCCACGGAAGGAAAAAAAAGGACAATTGCAAAGACAAGTGAAGAACTACTCCGAGCACTGCTGTGTCCCACTGTGTACGGCGTCAGCTAAATGCAACGGCGTCCTAAGTTTTCATGGCTTTCCGACCGATCTCGAGCTGCAAAGACAATGGCTGGTAAACATACTACGCGATAACTTCACAATCTCCTCTCACTCCAAGGTCTGCAGTCGTCACTTCGCCACGGATCAACTCATAGAGCGAAAAACCCTTGATGGCCGTAGGAGGCTTGTGAAAGGTGCTGTACCAACTCTGTTTGAGTGGAATCACTTTACTGCTCAAACACCGCGGGCTAGTGTTTGGGAGAAAGGGGTCTCCGGGGCTGCAGGGACATGCTACTCGTCCAACATGGCAACCAGGTGGGGAATCTGCAGCACGGGGAGGTTCAGTCATGACTTCACTGTGGCTCTGAAGACCCTTCCTCATGAAGACCACCAGGTACCAGCAGAAGCGCACACACATTTTAAATCTTTAGTTTGCAACACGTCTCGACTACAGTCTACACACACAGAACCCAGCGAGGCTTTTCGCTCCGTGCAGAGTGTGTGTATCCGCGGACAGTACACACACATTTCTTACCGTCTATGGTTAAAGTAAAAATCCTAATCCAGTGTTGATGATGTGCAACATGCAGTTTTAAAGAGTGTATAGACATTTCAAACTACAGTACACTTTGGCACGCTTTGTTTTCTACCGTAAAGTACACACTAAATGGTCACCTACATTTTATTGTTACTCTATAACCGAGTAATTACAGTACCCAACAATAAAAACATTAATGCAAACATATTAAATAGCTGCGTACCACTTAAAAACAAAATGTTGCTATAAAGACTATATTTATTGAATCTTTAAACTGACTATAAATGGGTTACTATTGTAAAGTATAGCTGCCTCCAAACACTGAGAAATGCACAGTTTTAGCAAGAGAAACATTACGTTATTGAGTTTACACAGCAAATTGAATATGGAAATAATAAGTTCACATGTTATCATGCCTCTGCAAGCACATTTTATTTCTGGGGGCTTTTCATTACGGTGGAACAGGATTACCTTGTTGTGGTGAATAATATTATAAACTGGATTTACAGGTTGTGGCTGTGGCAGCTCGTGAATTAGAGGATGCACAGCAGTTTGCCACAAAGCACAGCATCTCCCGAGTTTACGGCAGCTATGAGGAGCTGGCCAGAGATCCAGACATAGGTTGGTTTCTTTCAGACCTGGGTCACATCAGATTGTTTGATGGCACTTTTACTACTCTTGTATTCAGTTTGAACCACAACTGTCTTGATTTCCTGTGGGTTATATATATACTGTAATATATATTTTGACATTGAAAAACATGACAGCATGATCTCTGGTTTGTGTCTTTTTGTGAATGCAGATGTTGTGTACATTGGAGTTTACCACCCCTACCGTCTGATGCTCTTCACAAATGCCAAGAAGAACGTGTTGTGTGAGAAGCCGCTGGCCATGAACACCAAGGAGATCTTGTCCTCTGCCAAGAGGAATGATATCTTTCTCATGGAGGTAAGGATGAAGTCAGTCCAAACAAATAAATGGAGGTTGGCTTCTGATGAGTTAATTAAAAGACCCATGTCAAGTTCTTCCTGGTTTTGGCCTGTATTCAGTGTTTTGCCCAAACTTGAGAGGCTGGAGGGCAACATAGGACGCTTGGACAACTCAGATTCTTTCTTTTTGTCTTTCTTTTCTGCTCAGCAGTTATTTATAAGACACTTTTCATCAGATTCTCATCAGGTTGAAAAGCTTCAAACACAGAGGACAAACAAAATCACAAATATTTTGTATGCCTCCATTGCATTATTTCTAATAATAATTCAGTCACATTCCATTTTCAGGGTATTATAATTCAAATGATAAATTGTGAGTTATTCTACAAAACATCATTAACTTAAAGGGAACCTATCATGCAAAATGCACTTTTGTACGTCTTTTCTACATGAATATGTGTCCCCGGTGTGTCAGGGAACTCACCAAGTGTCAGAAAACACAACCCTCTCTCTTTTCCTCCATACCCAAATCTCTAAAAACGGGGCTGCAACGGATCTGATTCAGACTGAGACAGATTTGAAAATTCTCTGACGTCAGGAACGAGGAGCTCCGCCTATATGGCCAACTCTCCACCTATCAGGGGAACGGGGGGTTGGGCCACGGCCGGCCATTGCCGGTGTCACTACCCGATCTGCAGCTCTGCCCGATCTGCAGTGCGAGATGGTCCGCCATATTGGAGAACTCCGGACGGCAACCCAAGAAGGACACTTGACACAGTGGCTTTTGTCAAAGCTGAAAAATAAAACTCGAGAGAGATGAGTTATTATTACAACGTGACTTCACTATTATTTAACAACTCTTTTTATTGGGTTCTTTTATTTGGGGTTAAGTACATTGTCAGAATAAGTGAGACATGAATTTAACTTCTGTTAGACAGCTATCATACTGAATAAATATTTACTGTGAAAGTATGCAAAGATATATGGCTGTCTAACAGAATTTAAATCCACTTAACCCCAAATAAAAACAAATATTTTTCTCCCTCCCGAGGCAAGCGTTTGCTCCTCCTGCTGTAATTCAATGCAATCCCTCCCCGTCGAGGCAAGCACTGTAATTCTCTCCGGTAGTCCAACAGCAGATGACAAACACCCACCTCTCCGCCTCTTCCAAAGGAACAAGCAGAGCGCGGCAGAGTTTCAGTTCGATTTTTTTTCGCCAGTCAACATGTCCGTTAAAGTTGAAATCTTCCGCACAAAATTAGAAAAGTGCCGGTCAAAGGTCTTCTTTGTTATTTATTGAGCTTTAAAACAAATGAATAACGACTATGTAATCATATAAGAATAAAACATGGAGGACGGAGATCTCTTTTTCTTTCCCTCTTCTGACAGCCCAGCAGCTGATCTCAAAGCAGGCTCCCCTCTCCTGCAGGGGGGAGTGGTCAGCTGCAGCTCACAGAATCAGCCCCCTGCAAAAACAGGGCTGGAAAGAGCAAATAGAGCGAAATGAGGCATGGCTAAAATGCAGGATCTGTTTGGTATTTTGAAAAAAAACAACTATATTTAGCCTATATAGTTTGTATAGGTATGGCCCTACAATATATTGTTCAAATATAGCATGATAGGTCCACTTTAAATGAATTAATAAGAAAGTCTCTTTCTCTACTTGAAACCAAGCAACCCAGAAAACCTCACTGAACACCATCTGCGCTGTCTAAAAATATACACTAAACAAAACGGAGCGCACACAAACCACGCTGCGTAAAAGCCGTCGATTGCGCAACAGTACTCTCACAAAATAAGGCAACAGATCCAAAACGCAATAAACAACGGAGAAACTCTCTGGAGCCTCACACACACTGTCGCCAACTTCTCCCTCCGTGGCTTTGGGAACAAAAGACCGGCCATCATAATTCCTGCCCCTTTTGTTGCCGTGTTACCGGAAGCGGCATTAATATATTTTAATAACAGCTTGCTTATCATTAAGTAAAGTAGACTACGCTATTCAAAATAAAACTAATACCCCCTTGGTATTGAACAATACTATCACAATAACCTAAATGAAAATACATACAAATAATTATTTATCCGTCTGTTTTTCTCAGATATTATTATTTTTCTTTCAATGTTGACTTTCGTCTCGACAACCCTTCTTTAATACTATTATAATATTTAGGTAGCCGAAAAATATCCACTCTTTTTGACTTAACCTAGCTGTCCTACAATTTATTTCTCCACAGATGTACTGTCCATTCTGTGGGTCCAGCGTGACAGCTCCCCATGGTGTTTGTGGTGTCTGTGGCAGAGACATCACGTTTCTAAAGGATGTGGCTAACAAAGTCCCTGAGGAGATGCCCACCACTAGTGCACATCTAAGTGCACAGCCTAGCACCAGTGCAGGTAAATAGGTTTTATTACCGAAAAATAAGAATTTTTAGAAAACTTGGTTTAAAAGTTCGAATTCTGTTATTATACAAATACATCTCTAAACGATGTGGCTTACCTACTGTTGAATCCACTGAAGGGATTGAGGATGAGACTCCTATTGCACATAATGATGAGTAATTCATGTTTTATTCCTGTGTTTTTTTGTAGCAGGAAGCTCAGCTGTAGTGTCCTTATCTAGTGAAAAGAAACAGAAAATAGTGAAGGTATGCAACGTTTTCTATTATGAATACAGCTGTAATTCACATCTGGTCACCACACTCTCATATAATGTCCGAAGACTTTAGCGTATTCATTTTTAAAATGTTTTATTCATTTGCATGTTATTGTCTTTTTGCAGATTTCTGTTGGAGTAATGAGGATGATGGATGGCTGCCTTAGACCTGTGAGAGGGAGGTTACTTCCTCTTGATGTTGAACCTCAATGGTCATGTCAAGAACTGTTGGCTGCTGCCATAAAAAATCAGAAAGCTTTTAAACAGGTCGTGGAAGATGGTGCCCATGTTTTGTTGTACCCTGATGCGAGGGAGATTACAAATATACCCGGAACGGACATCCCTTTCACAGTGGAGATGTACAAAAAGACCAGTGGAAAGCCCTACCAACGAATTGCGTTGTACATCTGTACTGTTGAAGACTTTGAAAACAGTTGTAAGTGCTTCTGACATATATTCCCCCTTGTTTAAAGCACTAAACTGTATAATAATTCAAATGTATACATAACAGTTGGTCTGTCTATATTTCTTAACACAATTCATTCCACCCATCATTGCTTTCTCTTCGTGGTTGAACTTATGAGGTCAAATGGTCTTTTATGAATAGTGGCAGAAGAAATGGAATTTAAGTATCAACAAAAGCTTCCAAACTTTCCTCCTGTTCAAACTAAATATAAATTCCCTCTTAAGGATTGCAATTCTAAATTAACCTTTTTTCTCACAACAATGTTGGTTTATTGTGCCCCAATGTAAATCCTAATATGAGAGTGAAAAGGACGGTCAACAATATAATGTACATTTCACAAAAATGTTGTGTTTCGATGTAATCCTTTCTCATTGATGTCAATGCAATAATTCAGGATTCAAACCAACATTTGATGATAGGTACAGACGGAGGGGAACAATTCTTTTTATAGTATTAATCATGACACTTGTATTTTCTTAGGTTACACTGGAACAACTTCAAGTGAAGAGGACGGTGTGGTTCGTGTAAATTTGCCGTTGCAATAGAGAGCACTCCAAGAATGGACAACAGTTTGCCAGGGTAAAATAAAACGTCAACATATTATTTTGTGCCACAAGAAGCACAATGTTTTAACAGTACAGTAGTTTGATTGTTTACCTTTATCAGACCTCTCAGGCACCCTAAACCAGCGTCTGATATCAATCTTGATATTTAAAAAAACAAACATAATACTACTTTTTCTTCACAGAAAAACGAACAGGACTCCTCAGAGACATCCTGATGTTCTCAACAGGATTAAACACCCTGCCACGGTCTGGAATTCAGCCGAGACCCAAATAGATTTTTCAGCGAACATCTCGCTTTCCAATCGGCAGAACCTGCTCGAACACAATTGAAATACCGATGTCAAGCACCTACGAACAGTTTGAAAGCAACATGGACTTTGGAATCGAAAATTCGCTTGGTTTTGGACTTTATTGAAAGCTGGGCTTACAATTGACAAATTAGCCATGTTCTTCATGTTTATATGGTTCGCAACACAGGACTCCCAGGTCAAGGGTTGCATTAGACCACTCGTTCTTTGAAGGTTCTCAAATTGTTCCTGGAAGTGGTCGTCTCCACATGGACTGTTGGTCGAGTCCAGAACAAACTGGCCCAAGTCGTCTTGTGGGACTGGGAACCCACGGTCAGTTCCACCGTACCTGAATGTGAAATATGCACACAGTTTATTATTCACATGTACAAAATTGTTCTTAAAATATTGTTTTGTTGTTGAACTTGTTTGAAAATAAAAAAAGTTACTGTCACATAAAAGTAGACATTATTTGAGTAATAGGCAAGGCAAGGCAAGGCAAGTTTATTTATATAGCACTTTTCAACACAAGGCAATTCAAAGTGCTTTACAAAAAATGAAAGAGATTAAGAAAATGGCATTTAAAATCAGTCATTAAAAAGAAAAGCTAATAAAATAAACATTAAAAGAAAAAATACATGGATAAAAGTTACAGTGCAATTAAACATTAAAAGAAAAAAGTACATGGATAAAAGTTACAGTGCAGTCTAAGATATGAATAGTTCAATTAAAAGCAGCGACAAAAAGAAAAGTCTTCAGCCTGGATTTAAAAGTAGTAAGAGTTGCAGCGGACCTGCAGGTTTCTGGGAGTTTGTTCCAGATATTTGGAGCATAATAACTGAACGCTGCTTCTCCATGTTTAGTTCTGACTCTGGGGACAGAAAGCTGACCAGTCCCTGAAGACCTGAGAGATCTGGATGGTTCATAATTTAGCAGGAGGTCAGAAATGTATTTTGGGCCTAAACCATTCAGTGCTTTATAAACCAGCAGCAGTATTTTGAAATCTATTCTTTGACACACAGGAAGCCAGTGTAAAGACTTCAGAACTGGAGTGATGTGATCCACTTTCTTAGTGTTAGTGAGGACTCGAGCAGCAGCGTTCTGAATTAGCTGCAGCTTCCTAATAGATTTTTTAGTGAGACCTGTGAAGACACCATTGCAGTAGTCGAGTCTACTGAAGATAAAAGCATGGACAAGTTTTTCCAAATCCTGCTGTGACATTAGTCTTTTAATCCTAGATATATTCTTTAGGTGATAGTAGGCTGATTTAGTAACAGTTTTAATGTGACTGTTGAAACTCAGGTCAGAGTCCATGACTACACCTAGATTTCTGGCTTTATCTGTTGTTTTGAACATTGCACACTGAAGCTCAGCGCTAACTTTTATACGTTCTGCCTTGGCTCCAAAAACCATTACCTCAGTTTTATCTTTGTTTAATTGGAGAAAGTTCTGACACATCCAGTCATTGATTTGTTCAATGCACTTACTCAGTGTTTGAATTGGAGCATAGTCTCCTGGTGAAATTGTTACGTAAATTTGTGTGTCATCTGCATAGCTATGGTAACTTATTTTGTTGTTCTTCATTATCTGAGCCAGTGGTAGCATGTAGATGTTAAAGAGAAGAGGCCCCAAGATGGAGCCTTGAGGAACCCCACATGTCATATTTGTCAACTCAGATGTGTATTTACCTATAGAAACAAAGTTGTTTCTGTCCTTTAAGTAGGATTCAAACCAATTCAGAACTGTTTCCGAAAGTCCCACCCAGTTCTCCAGTCGGTCTAGTAATATGCTGTGGTCAACAGTGTCAAACGCAGCACTGAGATCTAATAATACTAACACTGAAGTTCTGCCACTGTCTGTGTTTAAGTGGATGTCATTAAAGACCTTTACAAGAGCAGTCTCAGTGCTGTGGTTTGGACGAAAGCCTGACTGGAACACATCAAAACAGTTATTTAAATGCAAGAAATTACTCAACTGTTGAAAAACAACTTTTTCAATGATTTTACCAAGAAATGGGAGGTTTGATATGGGCCTGTAATTGTTCATTACTGAAGCATCTAGATTATTCTTTTTTAAGAGCGGTTTAATGACTGCAGTTTTCAGGGCCTGTGGAAAAATACCTGAGTGAAGAGATTTGTTTACTATATGAAGTAGATCTGAGGCCATGCAAGGCAAAACATCTTTGAAAAATCCTGTTGGAATAATATCAAGGCAGCAAGAGGAGGATTTCAGAAGTTGAATAATGTCCTCTAGGTTTTTATCATTAATCTGATGGAATTGTGTCATGATGTCTGAATTGATGTTAAGTGGAGATAGGGACAACACATTTGCTGTTCCTGATGCAGAGGCACTGACTGCTTGTCTGATTTTCTGAATTTTGTCAGTGAAAAAGGAGGCAAAATCATTGCACGCCCTGGTGGATAGAAATTCAGAGGCTACTGACACTGGGGGGTTAGTTAGTCTGTCGACGGTAGCAAACAAGGCACGTGCGTTGTTTTTGTTTTTGGTAATGATGTCAGAGAAGAACGATTGTCGTGCGTTTTTCAATTCCAAATTATAAAGGCCAAGTCTCTCTTTATAGATTTCAAAGTGAACCTGGTGATTTGTTTTTCGCCACCTGCGTTCAGCTTTTCGACATTCTCTTTTTTCTGTTTTCACGGTCATGGCCTTTCTCCATGGAGATATTTTCTTGCCAGACACTTCCTTTACCTTAGTTGGAGCAATGGCATCTATAACATTTTTAATTTTTGAATTAAAATGATCTACTAGCTCATTTACTGAGATGTTGGCAGGGGCAAGTGTGGAAGAGAAATTCTGAGTAAACATTTCCCTAGTATTTTCAGATAAATATCGCTTTGTGGTTACCTCTTTTTGAACATTTTGTAATAACTGACATGAGGTGAACAGATTATGACACAATCTTAATTTATAGGGAAAAAAGTACTTTGGGGCAACTGATTTTTTCTTTGAATTTTAGGCAGTTACTAAAAATAAATCTGGACAAAAATTAAGAAATATGTTTAATTGATAGAAAAAAAACCTGTGTGGCAGGTTGTACATGACATCTGGTTTCCCAGATGAACAACGAGAGGTAATATGTGTTCCACTTTTCCCTGCAGTCGTCAAGGTCCCTCTAGCACAGTGGTTCTCAAATGGGGGTACGCGGACCCTTAGGGGTACGTTGGAGTACTGCAGGGGGTACGTGAGATTTATTTTTATGTTAATTGAAAAAATAAATAAATACCAACGTTAGGAAAAGTAAGGAAGTTTGAGCATTTATATTAACAGTTACACATATTTCAAAACGCGAAGTGTAATAACTGCAGTGGCCTCCCTGTCAGCATGACAAAGATCCTCAGTGAAGCACAAGCCCATGTTTCACTACATTGTAAGTACAACTTATTAAAAAGATCAGTTCAATGCAACTAATGTCGTCTTAGTGTTATTGCATGATGTTAAAATTGGTTTGTCATGAATTTAGTGATGGATTGTAAACATTTGAAATGTAGCATTTAAGTGTTTCTCAGTTACAAGGTTGTTGTTTTAATAAATCAGACACAGATGGTGCAGCACCGTACCTCTTTATATAGGCATTTATTCCCTAACAAATTGTTTTTGCGCTGATCAGGGGGTACATGGCTGCATTTTTTTTCCAAAGGGGGTACATTATTGAAAAAAGTTTGAGAATCACTGCTCTAGCACACCCATGAAGACGAACCGCACTAGGCATGTGTGCGCATGACTGCCACTGAAGTGATGTCTTTCTCTCAGGTCATTCATGAGATCCATCCAAAATTGAGACCTGAAGAAACAGATTCAAATGAGAGCTTTTTTTGATACATTGATGATTTCCATGGGATGGAATTCAAAATAAATATAAAAAACACATTCATCAAATAACAGTAAACCTGTGGTATCAAATAGTAATATTTATAAGAACTTTATTAAGGAACAGAGAGAGATCTAAAGGGGTAATCAGTGTCTTAACTGATGATTCCGAACAATTACATTAAAAGGAAATCAGCAACAACATAGATGGTGCAGAGTTTAGTTGTAAAGGATGTAAAACAAATAAAATAAACAAGCACCACACCTCTGTCTTCTGAAGTACGACCACCAGCTTTCAATTCTTTGATTTGCTGTTGAAGAGCCATACATGTGACTGGCAGCCCCAGCTAAATTGTCAGTGTGTCTTGATCTTAAAGCACACTGGATGGCGGCCATTGTGCCGTTTTCAGTGCCACAGTCTGTATATATTTGTTCTCGAGCGTGTCTAAAGCACACTACTATTCTCTCTCTCTCTCTCTCTCTCTCTCTCTCTCTCTCTCTCTCTCTCTCTCTCTCTCTCTCTCTCTCTCTCTCTCTGCGCATTACTCACTATGGTTATTATTTACCTGCATTTTTTTTTTACCTGATTTGTCATCTCTCTTAACAATGTTCTTCCCTCACTTTATCTTCTCTTCATTTTTGACTTTGCATATCGTTTTGTATTTGCAGCGTTTTTCTGTTGCGTTTGTTTTTGGGGTTTGTTTGTTTTTCATTTCATTATTTGCAGGTGTTTCCTGCTCATGTGTGCGTTTTTGGCCGTCGTTCCGCGTTTACACCTGACGGCCACCGTAGTCTCCTCCACTTTTCACATGCAAAATCAAACTTAACATTAAAACTTTCTAATGTAAGTCAACTACTAAATAAGATTACACAAAGCTAGCACTAAACTGTGACTGTGTGACTGCCTCCTGCCCTCCCCAGGTTGTATGGATCAGAGTCGGAGTTTGGCGTGCCGATTTCGCACGTGCCAAGGTTTGGTCAGAAGGAGCTGGGCGGAGGAGCAATGCTAGACATCGGTATCTACTGCCTGCAGTTCATATGCATTGATTGATTGATTGAAAAGTTTATTAACAGCTTGTATATTGGGTACAGTACAGTACAGCTCAAAACATACAATTGTTAAGGGGATGCAGACCAGAGAAAGACTTTCGTCTTGTTTACATCAGGGTCCCCCATTTCCAATTCATCATGTAATGGTGTTCAACGGAGAAGTAATGTGCCAGCGAGCGGCAGGAGTCGTCGGAAGAAGACACAAGCTTCGAGGGGGGGTGTCGTAGCAACTTAAAATCCGCTGCTGTCTAGAGAAAATGATCAGTTAGGTAACAAACGTACAGTAACACAATATTCGAATTAAAGCTATCAAAGATCTTTTTAATCATAGTTAACGTTTGCTAATCACACTTCATTTCAAGACACCAGAATTGTTTTTAAAGGTCCCATGTCATGCTTTTCTGGTTATTACCCGTCCCCTTATGAAGGTATGAAGGTTTTTGTGCATGTAAACGGTCTGCAGAGTCAAAAACCCTCAAAGTACACCCTGTAGCGAGTAAAACTCTAACACAGAAATGACCTGTGCTGCGCCAGAACGCCTCGTTGGAGATTTCTCTTTTTCCATTTGTTTGTTTGGAACCGC